GAATTTATGATTCCAGAGGACTAAACATGACAGAAAATTCTGATCTCCTGACAGAGAGTTGTTGGGTTCATTTTGAGCAAAATGAGGTATAAATTTCTTGACATAGCAATGCAGGAATTTGTTTTGCTTAATTATCTATATTTGTTGAAAGGATTTTCTTTCTTTTTTTTTTCTGTTAAATTGTGAGGGGCAGAAGTGAGAGAAAAGGGAAGGGAACAAGTATTTATTAAGCACCTGCTATGTGCCAGGTCCTGTCCTAAGGGCTTTACAAATATCTCTTGCTCCTCACAACAGCCCTGGAGGTTGGTACTGTTATTGTCACCATTTCATAGTTGGGGAAACTGAAGCAAATAGAGGTTAAGTGACTAGCCCAGAGTCATACAGCTAATAATTGTCTGAGGCCAGATTTGACCTCAGTTCCTGACTTTAGGCCCAGTGCTCTAACCACTGAGCCACCTGATTACCTCTCGGTGGCATAGTGGATTAGAAGGAAGAAAAGAAAATGAATGTTTCTACAAAAACAACAAGATGATAAAAATGTAAAGCTGGGTAGAACAAGTATTGTTTTAGATAATAAAGAAACAAAACTGATACATTCTTTTCAGTATTAGAAAAGATGGGTTGCATTTTCTTTTTATTATATTAAAGCTGAAGTTATCCCAATAATAACATCTATTTTATGGACATTAACTTTGAGATAAGATAGAATAGCAATGCAGTCAAAATCATTATAAATTTTAGCTGTCATATTACATGCCTTACACACATACATAAACACAGAGCATTTCAAAGTACTAAATCACTCATGCCCAATCATTTATGAAGCTATACTATCCTATTATTTGATTTATTTTTATGATTCTTTCCTCTTCTAATCATGCTCTGTGCGACCCAGGGTTATTATTGAAACTCTAAATAAGGATGTTCTTGGGAATTAGCCAGGATTAGTAATAACTTTACTAAAGTTTATTTTGTTATAAATGAAGATATCAATACAGTTTAACTTTTAAAAATACAGCATAATATTTTAATAAAGGTATTTTATATAAGGGTAAACTTTTTGATTGCCAAAATGCAACCTAATGTTAATGAAAATGACATACTTTTCATAAGATAGGAAAGGTAGTGGCAGTAATTAAAGTTAGATTAATTATAGATGACATTCACAAAGGCATGAATACATATGCCTCTAGACAATTGTCATCAATTTCAAGATTAAAATACACTTTAAGAATAAAATGTTTTGTGGATAAAATAATTCCACTTTTTATATAATGATTTTGTAATTAGTTTACAATGAGTAAAAATAAACAGTGTTTTACACTCATCATTATATTGTGAATGTTTCATTGTCACTTTGTTTATCTATTAGGATTAGTTTTTAAGCACAATCTTCCCAATGGAAACTAGGGATATTTATCAAGAAGGCTATTTTGACATATTAGGTTTTTGAAATAATATTGCTAAATGAGCACTGATGTGTAGAGGCATTATATAACTTTTAAAGAGAGTGACGTACCAGTATGTTATTCAAATACTTTGATTTTAACTTAATTAGAATGCAAATGTACATCTTGTTTACATGCTTATATGTATGTGTGAATGCATGTGTGCATGAATATATGTGAATGAATGCATGAACAAATGAAAAAGAGTATTTTAAGTTCTTACTATATGTCAAACATTGCACTAAGTTCTGGGGATACAGATACAAAATTGAAGACAGTCTCTGCCCTCAAGGAGCTTACATACTAATAGGGGAAGACAAAACGTATAGATGAGTGATCATCATGGGGAGGTATTTTGGTTTGGAAAGTTGTGGGGATGATAAGTAACTTATAGAAAAGTATATGAATTCACTTTTTCCAATTGCAATTGCAGTATTGATTTCATTATAATTCCGGTACTGGACAGAGTGATTGGGCTGCTGAAGGGCATCCATCTTGGTAAAGTGGATGGTGAGAAGGTGGCCAGGGATTATATACATAGACAGGCAGAGATCTGTCCAGTGCATGCATGTATACATATTGCATATGTAGAGAGATAGGGAGACACACATAGATATCTATATATAGGCATATTTGGATACATATCTATATACAGATCTAATAGACACATTTTTACAGATGAACACAAATATTTTTTAATAGATGAATGTTATTTAAAATTCTGAGGGAAAGCGTTTTCTCTACAGTGCTTTTTGTTATAATGACCATAATCAATTGTAGCTGCAAAACTACAGTGTTACATTAAAGCTTCTCAGCAGCAAAGGATTAGAGTCTCTCTTTAGCCTCTATCTCTCCAGAATAACTCATCAGAGAGTATTCCCTTAACTGCCTTGTAATTCAGATCTCTGTTAATTATAGTGATTGAGATTTCTTGGCATCAGCAATGGTTCTTGTTCTGGAAATAGTATTAGAATATTTGTTGAAGCAGATTTATAAGGAAACCCTTACTCCTTTACTCAGATTTTGCCGAAATTCCCTATTTAGAAGGTATGGTCAAAGAGTAATTTGAATTACTTTTTACTAACTAAAGTTAACCAGAAAGTTAGGAAATTTCAGATTAAAACTATTATCTGTTTTAGAATACAGTTTAATTCAGGAGGTAAGAACCCAGGGGGTAGTGGAAAGAGTGCCAGATTTGGGGTTAGTCCCAGTTCTGTTACTTAGAATTCCTGTGTGACATTGAGGAAGTTACCTAAATTACCTATGCCTCAATTTCCATATGTGTAAAATGAAGAGGTTTGAGTTGAGGCTCCCTAAGGTTCTTTCTGGTTCTAAACCTGTTATCCAGTGATCCATTTATAACATGATATACTTGTGTTCTGTTGGTAACAGTAACCTTTTTTCTATTATAATAATTTACATAGTACTTAATGGTCAGATGGTCTAGAACTACCTCTGCCTTAAATTCTGTTTTTCAGGTAGGACATTTGACAAAACATTTTGTAGGGGCAGCTAGGTGGCGCAGTGGATAGAGCACCGGCCCTGAAGTCAGGAGGACCTGAGTTCAAACCTGGCCTCAGACCAAACACTTAACACTTATTAGCTGTGTGACCCTGGGCAAGTCACTTAACCCCAATTGCCTAAAAGCAACCCCCCCCAAAAACCAAAAGAAACATTTTGTAAACATAAGAGAGTATATATATCTTTTTTTTTTAAAGATGCAGAGTGGTTGATCCCATAACATTCCAATGTATAATAGCCTTCACTGTTGGGTAATTATTCTTCACATCTCACCTAAGTATCTCATGTTGCAATTTAAGCCCTTTTCACTTCTGTAGTTCTCTATGGGAGTAGAGAATAATTACTGTAATAAAAAAAGGTAGTTACTAATCTGGCCAATTTTCTGATAGTCATATCAAAGGCAGAGTTGACACTAGTTGGCTCAAATTCTTAACATATTCCTGCGACATTTACTTTGGATCCTTTACTTTAGCAATATCTATGGTTTTATAACTTTTAAAAAAATTCTTACAAAAACAGAAAAATACCCCAAGGTTGTAGATTAATTATGATCTCTGAAATTTTAATCTGATGATAATGAGCAGTTCAATATAATTATTTCCTCTTCTTTTTGGTAATATATTTCAGGTAAGTTAAATTGCTAAATCAGTTCTGTCACATGATCAAGTTGAATGTCCACATGGTACTTAGAAGGATACATGAATATATAGCAAATAAAAATACTTGATGTAGTCTTACATTATGCATATCATGTAATTTAAAAAGGGAAGAGTTTTGTGATGTTTTAGTCCCTCAGAGGAGGCAGATTTAGCCTTCTCCAAGGCCCAGAAGCTGTAAGACTATAGAAGTGGCTGCAACTGCCTAAAGTTTGTCCTATAAATGAGGAGTGCAGGTTGCAAGGGATAGGAAGTAAGGCATCCTGGTGCTGTAAGTTACCATGCTTGTTTGAGCACAGGGTTTTCCCTTAGCAGATTAGAGACTGGTGAAAGTAGCTGGGCAAATCCAGTAGTACTAGAAGAGTTAATCAGATTTGAGGGATGGACAGGAATCATGACTGTGTTCAGCAGATCTTCAGTGTCACTGCCACTGGAACCATTGTTTGAATAAAGTAGTCATTAACTTGCCTGCCACATCTTTTTGTACTGAGGTGTGTGGCTGAACTCTCTTCTCATCCCTTCCTGATGTGTTCTGGGCTGGCTAGCGCCGAAAAAATAATAATACTAATAGTTGACATTATGCTTTGAGGTTTGCAAAGCACTGTACATAAAAGATTCATTTGATTATAGGTTCATAGGAATTGATGTTATTTGGTCTATTTCATTTTACAGATGAGGAAATTGAGACCTGGAGAAATTATGACTTTTCCAAGATCACACAGTAGCCCCATTGAGATTTAAATCTAGGCTCTCTAACCCCAGATTCATTGCTGGGAAAAGTTTTAGTCTAGCTCCATTACATAATACCAAAATGTCCTTAAAAGTTAATGTAACAGTTTAATAACATACATGATTCTTCTGTGGGTAACAATTTTTTTTTATCGAGTCTAGAAATAAAACTGTTTTTAGTATTTAAATTTTTCTGAAAAATCAGACTATTACTGATAATCCTGAAAATTATATTATAGTAATTGTTTTCTTGATGATGTTCTTTCCACTCTGTGTCCGATTGTTTAGATAGTAAGTGCCTGCTTTGCTCTTGCTGTGTAGTTGTAGTGTCAAGCAAGTCACATAGCAAGTGCTTAATGATTTTGTTGAATTGAATGTTGTTGAACTGATTAAGAGTCTTAGGGTTTTGGTTTTTTTTACCACCAGCTGGAGAAACTATTTCTTTCTCCTCTTAACAGGTTCCCTGAATTATTTCCCAGCTCCCAATAGCACAGAGACTGATTCGGTCACCTCTTGATTTGTCCTTTCTACATAGGAGTCTTCATTTCTGAAGTTCTTGAACATCTTTTATTTAAAATTTTAAGTGTACTGTAGAATATATATGTATATATATGTATATAATGAAATTTTTTCCCCCATATTTTAGACCAGCTTCTGATGACATACCACTTCTCAGCCATCCATCACCTCCCAAGGAGGCTCAATTGGATATTGATCAGGTTCCAGAAAAGGGGGCTGAGATGGGAACTCTTGGTGATGAAGAAGATTCATCTATGAAGGACTTGAAATCCATTGAAGGTTCATGTTCTTCTTATAAATCGCAGAAGGATATGGAGGAGGTTTCTCTTCGACATACAGTTATCCAAACAAGAATGAATGAACAGCAGCTGCCTACAGAAGACTCTCAGGAGGAGACCATGTGCATCGATAACAACCTGCAAATTCCTGAAGAAAACATTCAAACTACTAATAGTAGCCATAAAATCCAATTTACACCAGTGATTACAGAGCTTTCCAGTTCTGTTAGTTCTTTACCCTCGAGATCCTGCTGTTACTCCAGTTATGACTGAAAATGCCAGTTTATCATCCCCAGAAACTCAATCGGTTTCAGTAATCAAATGTACCCCCAAACAGGAACGATACGTGCAATAACGATATACGGTTCGACAAATGTTCTAACTCTTTTGAGTCATCACTGCAGTTAGGAACCTCTTCAGTTTTACGTCAGAGCCCTAAAGTTGGACAAGGGAACTCTTTCGATATGACCTCAGGTAAATCATTTTTGCAACGAGATGGTTTACAATCTCAGGGTAAAACTTGGGAGGCTGACTTTCGACTCAGGAAACCTATGGGTACTGGTGGCTCACTAAAATTTGATTCAGTCCCCAAAATAGGTGAAAATACAGAAACAAAATTGAGCAGTATGGGTATGGGTGCTGGTGGCTCACAAAACTTTAAGTCTATCATCAGATTTGGAAAAAACTCAGACACAAAGTTGAGCAATATTGGTATGGAAACTGGTGGTTTACTAAATATTGATTTAGCTCCTAAATTAGGAAAAAAGTCATACAGAAAATTGAGAAATATTAGTATGGGTACTAGTGGGTCACTAAACCTTGATTCAACCCCCAAAGTAGGAGAAAACTCTAAAACAGAGTTAAGTAATACAAGTCTGACTACTGGTAGCTCACTTAACATTGAGGCAACCCCAAAACCAAGAAAATACTCAGAAACAAAGTTGACCAGTATGTGTATAAATATTGAAGAGTCACAAAATTTTAAGTCAGTCATCAAATTTGGAAAAAATTCAGAACCACAGTTGAGCATTGTTGGTATGAGACCTAGTGGCTCACTAAATTTTGAGGCAAATCCCCAAATAGAAGAAAACCCCAAAATTAATTTAGGCAATATTGGTTTGAATAGTGGTGGGTCACTAAACCTTCACTCAACTCCCATACTAGGAGAAATCTCCAAAACAAAATTGAGCAATATCGGTATGAACACCAGTGGCTCACAAAACATTGAGTCAACTCCCAAAGTAGGAGAAAATCCAGAGACACAGTTGAGCAGTGTAGGTATAAGTATTGGTAACTCACAGAAGTTTAGATCAATCATCAGATTTGGAAAAGGCTCAGAAACAAAATTGAGCAGTATTGATAAGAAAAGTGATGGCTCACTAAATTTTGAGTTAATCCCTAAATTAGGAGAAAATTCAAAAACAAAGTTAAGTGGTATTGAAAAACATAAGAATGACTCACTAAACTTTGAGCCAACCTCAAAATTGGGAGAAAATACAGAAACAAAGTTGAGAGGTATAGGCATAGGTACCGGTGGCTCACAAAACTTTAAGTCAATCATCAGATTTGGACAGAATTCAGAAACAAAATTGGGGCATATGGGTGTGGAAACTGGTGGCTCAGGAAATATTGAGTCAAACTCCCAATTAAGAGAAAATTCAGAAACAAAGTTAGGCAGTTTTGGTATGGGGACTGGTGGCTCACTTAACTTTGAGTCATCCTTCAATCTAGGAAAAAAATTGGAAACAAAATTCAGCAGTGTGGACACTGGTAGCTCACAAGATGTTAAAGTAACTCCCAAATTAGAAAACTCAAAACCAAATATGAGCATTATTGATATGGGAACTGGTAGCCCACTAAACTTGGAAGTAGCCACCAGACTAGGAGGAAATTCAGAAAGAAAGTTGAGCAGTATGAGTACTGGTGGCTCACAAAATTTTAAGTCAATAATTAGATTTGGACAAAACTCAGAAACGAAATTGAGCAGCATGGGTATGGATACTGGTAACTTGGGAAACTTTAGGTCAATCATCAAATATGGAGAAAGCTCAGAAACAAAGTTGAAAAGCATTCATATGGGGACTGGTGGCTCACAAAACTTTGAGTCAACTTCCAAATTAAGAGAAAACTCAAAAACAAAATTGAGCAGTACTGGTATAGATACTGGTGGGTCAAGAAATATTGAATCAATCCCCAAACTTGGAGAAAGCTCAGAAGCAAAGTTGAAAAGCATTCACATGGGGACTAGTGACTCACAGAACTTTGAGTCTACTTCCAAAGTGAAAGAAAATGCAAAAACAAAATTAAACAGTATTGGTATAGATACTAGTGGCTCAAGAGACATTGAATCAATTCCCAAACTTGGAGAAAGTTCAGAAGCAAAATTGAGCGATATAGGTATGGTTGGCTCACATAACTTTGAATCAATCATTAAATTTGGAGTAAGTTCAGAAACAAAGTTGAGCAGTGTGGGTATGGATGTTGGTGGCGTACTTTCAAACACTGAGGTAACTCCCAAATTAAGAGAAAACAAAGAAACAAAATTGACCAGTATGAGTTTGAGAACTGGTGGCTCACCAAACTTTGAGTCAGCTCCCAAATTGGGAGAAAGCTCAGAAACAAAGTTGAATAGCATAGAAATGGGTATTTGTGGTTCACCAAACATCGAGGCAACTTCCAAGTTAAGGGAAAACTCAGAAACAAAATTGAGCAGTGTTAATTTGGGTCCTGGTGGCTTACAAAACCTTCCGTCAATCATTAGATTTGGAGAAAGCCCCAAATCAAAGTTAAGCAATATTGGTGTGAGTACTAATGCCTCACTAAACTTTGGGGCAACCCTTAAACTAGGAGAGAAGTCAAAAATAAAGTTGAGCAGTACTTCTATGGGTGGTGGCTTCTCAAGAAACTTAGAGTCAGCTCCCAAATTAAGAGAAAACTCTGGAACAAAATTGAGCAGTATTAGTAAGGATTCTGGTGGTTCATTAAACTCTGACTCAACTCTCGAACTAGGAAAAAGTTCAAAAATTAATTTTAGCAGTGTGGGCATGGAGCCTAGTGGCTTATTAAATTTTGAATCAGTCATCAGACTAGGAGAAAGCTCAGAGAGAAAGTTGACCTATATGAATACGGGGACTGATAACTCACTAAAATTTGAGTCAACCCCTAAATTAGGAACAAATTCAGAAGCAAAGTTGAGTACTACCAGTATGGGAATTGTTGGCCCACAAAAATTTGAATCAGTCATCAGATTAGGAGGTAGCTCAGAAAAAGAGGTGAGCAGTTTTCATAAAGGTACTGGTGGCTTTCTAAAAGCCAGATCAGTCATCAGATCAGGACAAAACTCAGAAACAAAGTTGAGCAGTATTGATATCAATACTGGTGGCTCACTAAAGGCAGAGTCAGTCATCAAATTAGGACGAAGCTCAGAAACAAAGCCGAGTAGGATGCCTGTGGATACTAGTAGCTCATTAAACTTTGAGGCAACTCCCAAACTGATAGAAAAATCATTAACAAATTTGAGCAGTTTGGATATGGACACCTGCAGCACTGGAAAAGCCAAGTCAGTTATCAAGTTAGGAGGAAACTTAGAAACGAAGTTGAGCCGTGTGAGTATGGGAACTGGTGGCTCACTGAACATTGAGTCAACTCCTAAATTAGGAGAAAACTCAGAAACAAGGTTAATCAATATGAGTATGAGCACTGGTAGTACAGTAAACTCTGAGTCAACCTCCAAACTAGGAGAAAATTCAGAAACAGAGTTGTTCAGCATGGGTATGGATATTGGTAGCCCACTAAACTTTGAGTCAGCTCCCACACTAGGAACAAAGTCAGAAACAGGGTTGATAAGTATGGATATGGGCACTGGTAGCTCACTAAACTTTGAGTCAACTCCCAAACCAGGAGCAAATTCAGAAACAAAGTTAACCAGTATGGTTCTAGGGACTGGTAGCTCACTTAATGTTGAGTCGTCACCCAAAGTAGGAGAAAACTTAGAAACCATGTCGGGTTGTGTAGGTATGGGTGCTGGTAGCTCACTAAACTTTAAGTTAGCTCCAAAATTAGGAGTAAACTCTGAAACAAAATTTGTTAGTATGGGTATGGGGACTGGTAATTCATTCAACTTTCGGTCAACTCCCACATTAGGAAAAAACTCAGATACAAAGTTGAAAGGTATGAATACTGGTGGCTCACTAAAATTTGAGGCAACCCCTGAACTAGGAGCAAAGTCAGAGACAAAATTGTGCCATATCAGTATGCAGACTGGTCGCTCAGTAAAATTTCAGTCATCTCCCAAAACAGGAGAAAACTCAGAAACAAAGTTGATCAGTATGGGGATGGGGACAAGTGGCTCAGTAAACTTAGAGTCAACTTCCAGACCTGGAGAAAATATAGAAACAATGTTGAACCGTATATGTGTGGGACCTGGTGGCTCCCTGCACATTGAATCATCTCCCAAATCAGGAACAAACTCAGAAACAGAATTTGCCAGTTTTGATGTGGGAACTGGTGGCTTAATAAAGTTTGAGTCAACCCCCAAATTAAAAGCAGAATCAGAGACAAAATTAAGTAATATGGGGATTGGTCACTCACTAAAATTTGAGTCAACTCCCAAACTCGGAGAAAGTTCAGAGATAAAGCTGATCAGTATGGATATGGGAACTTTTCACTCAGTAAATTTTGAGTCAACTCCTGAATTCAGAGGAAAATCAGAAACAAAATTGGTCAGTGTGGGTGTGCAGACTTTTGATTCTATAGACTTTGAGTCAACTCCCAAGCTAAGAGGAAACTTAGAAACAATGTTTAGCCGTATGGATGTGGGAACACATAGCTCATTAAACTCGGAGTCAACTTCCAAACTAGGAGCAAACTCAGAAACAAGATTATTCAGTGTGGATACGGGGACTAGTTACTCAGGAAACTCTAAATCAACTCCAAAATTAGGAGAAGACTCAGAAACAAAGTTGATCCATATGAGCATGTGGACTGATGGCTCGCTAAACTTTGAGTCAGCTCCCAATGTAGGAGCAAATTCTGGAACACAGTTGTTCAGTATGAATATGGAGACTGGTGGCTCAGGAAATTTGGAATCAACTCCAAAGTTAGGAGGAAATTCAAAAACAAAGTTGATCCATATGGGTATGTGGACTAGTGGTTCACTTAACTTTTCATCTACTTCCAAATTAGGAACAAACTCAGAAACAAAGTTTGCCAGTTTTGGTGTTGGGGCTGGTGACTCACTAAAGTTGGAGTCAGCTCCCAAAGTAGAAGAAAACTCAGAAAAAAAGTTTACCAGTGTTGGCATAGGGACTGGTAGTTCGTTAAAATTTGAGTTGACCCACAAATTAAAAGAAAGGTCAGGATTAAAAGTGAGCCGTACAGGTATAGGGGTTTGTCACTCACTTAAATTTACTTCCACTCCCAAACTAGGACAAAACTCAAAAACAGTGATGACCACCATTGGTAAGCAGCCTAGTGGCTCATCCAACCTTGAGTCAACTCTTAAAGGGACTGGTGGCTCAGTAGGCTTTGAATCAACTCCCAGACTAGGAGAAAATTCAGAAGCAAGGTTAATCAATGTGGTTATGGGAACTGGTGGTTCCCCAGACTTTAAGTCAGTCCCCAAAGTAGGAGAAAGCTCAGAAACAAAGTTAATAAGTATGGATTTGGGAACTAGTGCCTCAGTAAACTATTTGTCAACTCCCAAACTAGGAGAAAACTCAGAAGCAAAGTTCATTAGCATTGGTGTGGGAACTGATGACTCAGTAAACTTTGAGTCAAATACCAAATTACCAGAAAAAGTTTGTGAGAAACAGAGTTTGTCAGAAACAAAGTTTGTTGGTAAGGGTTTAGGGACTGGTAGCTCATTAACTTTTGAATCCCCTCCCAAACAAGAAGAAAACTCAGAAAGAAAGTTCATTGTTACTAGTGTGGGAACTAGTGGCCCACTAACTGTTAAACCAGCTCCCAACCAAGGAGAAAATTCAGAAACAAGGTTTATTGATATGGGTATGGGAACTAATAGCTCAGTTAAGTCAAGTCCCAGAGTAGGAGAAAATTCAGAAACAAAGTTGATGAGCATGAGTTTGGGGACAGGTAGCTCTGGAAACTTGGAGTCAATTCCTAAACTGGGAGAAAACTCACAGAGAAGGTTTGTCATTGTGGGTGTAGGGACTTGTGGCCCACTAAATGTGGCTTCACCTCTCAGATTAGGAGAAAATTCAGAAACAAGAGGAATCAATGTGGGTATAGGGCGTGGTAGCTCACCAGATTTTCAGTCAACTCCCAAAGTAGGAGAAAATCCAGATACAAAGTTGATGAGTATGGGTTTGGGAGCTGGTAGCTCAGTAAACTTGGAGTCAGCTCCCAAAGTAGGAAAAAACTTAGGAACTGCATCAGGCTGTATTGTTATAGCAACTAGGAGCTCACCAAATCTTGAGGCAACTCCCATACCTAGAACAAACTCAGAAACATTGTTGACTGATGTTGAAGTGGGAACTCGTATCTCACTTAATTTTGAATCAACACATAGACTGGGAGAAAACTCACAAAGAAGATTGGTTGTTATGGGTCTGGGGACTAGTGGCCCACTAAACATTGATTCAACTCCCAGGTTAGGAGAAAATTCAGAAACAGATTTAATTGATGTAGGTATAGGAATTGGTGGCTCAAACTTTGAGTCGGCTCCCAAAATAGAGGAAAGCTCAGAAACAGAGTTAATCAGTATGGATTTGGGAACTACTGGCTCAGTAAACTTTGAGTCAAATCCCAAATTAAGTGAAAACTCAGAAACAAAGTTGATTGGTATGGATTTGGAGGCTGGTAGCTCAGTAAACTTTGAGTCAACTCCTGAAGTAAAAAGAAACTTAGAAACTAGGTTGAGCCACATTGTTACAGCGACTAGGAGCTCACCAGATATAGAACTAAATCCCACACCTAGAGCACACTCAGAAACATTTTTGACCAGTGTTGCAGTGAGGACTGGTAGCTCATTAAATTTTGAGTCAATTCCCAAACAAGGAGAAAATTCAGAATCAAGGTCAGGCAGTATGGCTATAGTAACTGATGGCTCACTAAACTTTGAGACCACCGCCAAACTGGAAGAAAACTCAGAAAGAAGGTTGGTAATTATGAGTGTGGGGACTAGTAGCTCACTAAACTTTGATTCAGCTCCCAAACTTGGAGAACATTTGGGTGTGGGAAGTGATGGCTCACCAAACTTTGAGTCAACTCCCAAATTAGGAGAAAACTCAGAAACAAAGTTGATCAATATGAATTTGGGGACTGATAGCTCACCTAACTTTGAAGTGGTCCCTAAATTAAGAGAAAACTCAGAAGTAAAGTTGATCAGTATGGATTTAGGAAGTAATAGCTCAGTAATCTTGGAGTCACATCCCAAATTAGAAGAAGACTCAGAAACAAAGTTGGTCAATATGAGTTTGAGGACTGGCAGTTCAGTAAACTTTGAGTCAATGCCCAAAGTAGAAAAAAATTTAGAAACGATGTTGAATTCATCAAACCTTGAGTCACATAGAGCCGACTCAGAAACAATGTTGACTGATATTGGAGTGGGTACTGGTAGCCCACTAAACTTTGAATCAACTCCCAAAGTAGGAAAAAACTTAGAAACTGTGTTCAGCTGTATCGTTATGGCGCCTAGAAGCTCACCAAACATTGAACCAAGTCCCATGCTTAGAGCAGAATCAGAAACATTGTTGCCCGAAATTGGAATGGAGACTAGTAGCTCACTAGATTTTGAGTCAGTTCTTAACCAAGGAAAAAATTCAGAACGAAGGTTAATCAGTATGGGTGTAGGAACTGATGGCTTACCAAACTTTAAATTATCTCCCAAAGTAGAAGAAAGAGAGTTGTTCAGTGTGAATTTGGGGACCGGTAACTCAGTAAACTTTGAGGCAATGTCCAAAGTAGAAAAAAACTTAGAAACTGCGTTGAAATCACCAAAACCTGAGCCAAGTCCCATACCTAAAGCAGACTCAGAAACATTGTTGACTGAAATTGGAATGGAGACTGATAGCTCACTAAATTTTGAGTCAGTTCCCAGCAAAGGAGGAAATTCAGAACCAAGGTTAATCAGTGTGGATGTAGGAACTGATGGCTTACCAAATTTTAAGTTATCTCCAAAAGCAGAGGAAACAGAGTTGATTGGTATGAATTTGGGGACTGGTGGCTCAGTAATCTTTGAGTCAGATCCCCAATTAAAAAAAGACTCAGAAACAAAGTTGGTCAGTGTGGGTTTGAGGACTGGTAGTCCAGTCAACTTTGAGTTAGTGCCCCAAATAGAAAAAAATTTAGAAACTAGGTTGAAATCACCAAAACCTGAGCCAAGTCCCATACATAAAACAGACTCAGAAGTATTGTTTACTGAAATTGAAATGGAGACTGATAGCTCACTAAATTTTGAGTCAGTTCCCAGCAAAGGGGAAAATTCAGAACCAAGGTTAATCAGTGTGAATGTAGGAACTGATGGCTTACCAAACTTTAAATTATCTCCAAAAATAGAGGAAACAGAGTTGATTGGTATGAATTTAGAGACTGGTAGCTCAATAGACTTTGAGTCAATGCCCAAAGTAGAAAAAAACTTAGAAACTATGTTGAAATCACCAAAACCTGAGCCAAGTCCTGTACTTAAAGCAGACTCGGACACTGATACTGGAATGGGAACTGGTAGCTCACTAAATTTTCAGTCAGTTCTCAACCAAGAAGAAAATTCAGAACCAAAGTTAATAAGTGTGGGTGTAGGAACTGATGGCTTACCAAATTTTAAATTATTTCCAGAAGCAGAAGAAACAGAGTTGATCAGTGTGAATTTTAGGACTGATGGTTCAGTAATTTTTGAGTCAAATCCTCAATTAGAAAAAGACTCAGAAACAAAGTTGGTCAGTGTGGGTTTGAGGACTGATAGTCCAATAAACTTTGAGTCAGCGCCCAAAGTAGAAAAAAACTTAGAAACTATGTTGAAATCACCAAAACCTGAGCCAAATCCCATACCTAGAGCAGATTCAGAAACATTGTTGACTGATATTGGAGTGGAGACTTGTAGCTCACTAAACTTTGAGTCAACCCCCAAACAAGAAGAAAATTCAGAATCGAGGTTAATCAGTATGGGTATGGGGATTGATGACTCATTAAACTTTGAACCTACTTCTAATCTAGAAGAAAACTCAGAAAGAAGTTTAATCAATGTGGATATAGGAATTGATGACTTGTTAAACTTTCAGTCAATGTCCAATGTAGGAAAAAATTCAGAAACAGATTTTATCATTAAGAGTATGGAAACTGGTGGTTTACTCAACTTTGAATCACCTCCCATATTTGGAGAAAATGTAGAGAATATGATAAGCTGTATTGTTATGAGGACTAGTGACTCAGTAAACCGTGGGTCACCTTTTAAACTTGGAGCCAACTCAAAAACAAATTTGACTAATATAGGTGTGGAAATTAGTGGCTCACCAAACTGTGAGTCAGCTCCTAAACTAGGAGAAAACTCAGAAACAAAGTTGACCAGTATGGATATAAGGACTGATGGCTCACTAAACTTTGAGTCAACTGACATTTTAGGAGAAGATTCAGAAACAGTGTTCAGCATTATGGATATGGGGAATGATGATTTAATAAACTTTGAGTTAACTCCCAAATTAGGAGAAAACTCAGAAACAAAATTGAACAGTATGCCTATGGGTACTGATGACTCTTTCAACTTTGAGTCAACTCCAGAATTAGGAGAAAACTCAGAAATGTTGTCAATTACAGATATAGGGAATGATAATGGCTCATTTAACTTTGAGTCAATTGCCAATTTAGGAGAAAATTTAGAAATGGGCATGGGGACTGATAGCTCACCAAAGTTTAAGTCAACTCCCAAAATGGGAGAAAATTCAGAAATAGGTTGATCTCTATGGATTTGGATACTGATAACCTACTAATTGAGTCAACTCCCAAACTAGGAGAAAAATCAGAAACAAAGTTGAGCAGTATGGGTATGGGGACTGTTGGCTCACTAACCTTTGAGTCAGCTCCCAAACTAGGAGAGAATTCAGAAACAATGGTGAGCAGTATGGGTATGGGAACTAATGACTCATTAAATTGTGAGTCAATTCCCAAACTAAGGGAAAACTCAGAAACAATGGTGAGCAGTGTGGGTATGGGTACTGTTGGCTCACTAAATTTTGATGTAACTCCCAAAGTAGGAGAAAACTTAGAAACAAAATTGAGCATTGTGTGTATGGGTACTGGTGGCTCACTAAACTTTGAGTCCACCCCCACATTAGGAGAAAACTCAGAAACAAAGTTGAGCAGTATTGGTACAGTTCCTGTTAACGAAGTCGTTGAAGACGTCATTCTGCCCAATATACAGTCCAGCCAAGAGGAGGAGAGTTCCTTTTTTAATATATCTGCCATTTTGGATCATGAAAGTACAACAGATTCTGAAATGAGTTTTGATTGTGATACCCCATTTGAATCAGTAGCTGACCAGCATACATTAGCTGTGAAAGAAATAGACCTTCTGACAGAGGTGCATATTGACCTGGAAGATGAGAACTATCAATCCCGTTTGAGCTCTGTTCTCAAAGTTAGTTCCTTAGAGGACACACAACAAGCAAACGTGAATACAGTGGAACACTGTGATGAGCCAGTGCTTCCTGCACTTCCTCATGTGCCTCCTTCCTTTGTGGGAAAAACATGGACTCAAATAATGTATGAAGATGACTTAAAAATTGAAGCTATGGTGCGTGAATTCCGGGAAGGCCGGAATTTCCGTTGTTACTTTAATGATGAGCCTGAGACTAAGAAAACAAGCAAAAATAAGCAAGAAGGTGGGACATCAGCTAATGCAGTGCCAGAATTTAATGATACTGCAAGTGTTTGTAGTTTTGACAACTTTTCTGAGGCCTCAGATACGCTATGCAATGCTCCACCAGCTAAGAGGCCTAAGAAGCGAACATGGCGCATGGCTTCTCGATGCCAGGTTGTTAAAGTCAGCCATGGGACTCAGACAAGTGTGATAGACTATTCAGTATTTGGAAGACACATGTTTAGTGAGCAAGAGCTGTTGGACAATGAGACAGGTATTTGGTTGGAGAATGATAGGACACCAAACACAAGTACCAGATTTTGTACTCTTAAACTCCCAGAATCATATACCAAAATTTTGAGCCCTGTGCAACCTGAAACAGTAGTTTATGTTCTTTCTTGCCCAGAGACTAATCAGAATAAGGCAATTCTTGATGAACTTAAAATGAGAAGAAACCACAATTCCGTAGATAACGATTCTATAAAATATAAATACAAACGATGTTCTTTTAAATACTATGATCCAGTGACTAATCGAATTCTGAAAACAACTCCTACCGACTTATTAGGAGAAAAGGGTAAAAAACCTGCCCATGTGAGACAGCTGTTTAAAAGTCTCAATCTAAATGTCAAGTTGAACAAAGGTGTTGCTTCTCAGAAAGAATGCTTACCAGCTAGCCAGTCTTCTAATTTGTTAGACCTTGATAGTTCTACTTCAGACCCAGATAAAGGAGATGATTTAACATCAAGCCAAAAGTTGAATGGATCTTCCCTTTCCTCAGCTGAAGGAGATGATTTAACATTAAGTCAAAAGCAGGATGGACCTTCCTTTTCTTCAGAGGATTATGAAGTTTCGGTTGATAGCCCTGCAAATGAATCTTATCAGCAGTCTGCAGTCTCACCTTTAGACACTATGCATGTTCAAATAGAAAATTATTCCAGATCAGCTTCATTTAAGCAGAGGGTTGCAAAAACACCTGTAAAGTCAATCAGAAGTGTGCTACTAGTGAAGAAGAATCCAAAGAAAATCTGGAAAAGGAAGGAGGCAAATAGTAAGAACACAGGTTTTTCCAAAAAGGCTTCTGGACCTATGGTTCTCCATCATGGAATTGCTAGAGTAAGAACTAAGAACACTTCGGGAAAACAAATACCCTGGGTTAGGAGCAGAAAGAATGAGATAATAAGAAAGTATATATCACCTTTGCTCTCTAAATATTCTGCTGTTTTGGGTTGTGGACATCTAGCTAGAAAAACTATTGTGGGAAAGTACCTGAGGACGCAAAAACTTGATTTTAAAATGCTAAAGAAGAGGAAAAGACCCAGGAAAATGTTTTTGAACCCCACAGTCACAGCAGGTGCTAGTGAAACACCAGAGAGAACCTCAGCAGAGTCTGTTCTGGAACAGTCAGAGTGGACTTCTTCCAAAGTTACAAGGTGGGAGGTGAGTGATGATCAAAGACTTCTTAGCACAGAAAAACAGCCTTCTAGAACTGCTACACTACCTGCTTTATCTTGTCCTACTGGGACACCCTTATTTAACACAGAAACTCTTTCCTTGCCAACAACCAGTGGCAAGTTGAATGAGAAAATGAACTAGAGATTTTTGTGCTGTCTAGTTGAGGCATCACCCTCAGCTAAATTATATTTTAAATTAATAAGCTAATAACTCAGTTCACATGGCTGGGATATGGGCACAGTACACATTGCACTGTTTTGCTATAAATGTTTTTTCAGAAGTTTTGTATTTGTTTGAATTTAGCACTTAGGGCCTTATTTTTAGACTTAAATGCACTTGTCCACCCTTTTCTGCAGAAAAACTGTGATCTTGTATAATATTATAATTTAATATAAAATATTAAAATCGGCCCCCACTTTGATGCTCTCCCTCTCAGTCTTTGTGATTGTACCTCCCGTATCCTCAGATTGTAATAAATTGTCAAAATGACGCCCAGGAAATATAGTAAAACAAATGCTGTCATATTTTTAATGACAAATTGGTGGTTGTTTGCACATACATTATATGTGTTTTAGGACTGCTTTGGGAGCAGTGTCAGTACAGTATGAGACTAGCAAATGAAAATGAAGTACAGTTCAATCATAAGACTGGAAGGGACAATGAGATGTCAAATAGAGTATCCCCTGCCTTGTTGGTAGAATCTCAACTAAAGTATTAGGCAAATGAAAATTAACTTTGTTTTTAAAGACCTGTATGGAAAGAAGTTCCAAAATCTCCCAGTTAACAAAAAATTGTCAAGCAGTTCTTTTAGCCATTGAATGTGAAATCTCTTATGCCCTAATTTCATTCATTTGGACCAAATAAAAACAAAACAAAACAACAAGAAAAAAGCAAAGCCCAAATCTTTGTGACTTTACAATTTAGAAACAATTTAGGTTTGTGGGTGGGAGGAAAATCCTTTTTTTCCCCCTAGTTTCTTTATGTCTTGCTTCTGCTTTTTTTCCTTTTTTTTCCTTGCACATTAAAAATTGCATTTGATTTTCAAAAATCTTAAAACCACAAAGGGCATATAATTAAAATATGAAGATTCAGGCTACCTTATGACCTTATATTATCCAAAACTAGAGATAGGGATAGAGACTGAGGTCATTGATGCTGGGAATTCCATGATGAGAAAACTCCTTCTAGCAGTGCAGGTAGGCACCTCCTCAGTAAAAGTCTTAGAGAGTACTGCCTAGAGCACTAAAAGTTTAAGTCATTTACCCAAGCTTACATAGTTTGTGTCAGAAATGGGACTTAGTCCAGGTTTTCTTTGTGCTGAGATCAGCTCTTTATTACCTACAACACATTGCCTCTCATATTTCAACAATATATGACAAGCCTATTTAGTTTTTTAGCTCTAATCAGATTTAATTGATAAGTTTACATAAGACGGTATTACTTAAATGATTTAATTATTAATTCAGATAAAAAAACTTGCTATTTCAAAAAATCTAATAGTAGTTAGTATATTGACATTTAAATGCTACTATTTTATAAACACTCACCTACATTCTTTCATTATTGATATTTCTTAAAATTGTTAGCTGATTGCAGTGACTCCACAGAAAAGCAAAAAGAAATGTAATGTTTATGGTTTGTGATAACCATGTTGACTTAAAATGTTATTATATCTTTATTCAATAGACACCTTGGCCTGAAGAATTTGTTTTTCCTGGCATATGAAAATTCTGAAGTAGGTCCCTTTTACAATAACACTAATATTAGGGAATAGGACTAATTCATTTTGTAGGGTAACTTAACAGTATACTTTTAATGTATGCAGCTATGTTTCAAAGAACATGATCTTAGTAACAATGGGGTAATACTATATTTTGCAAATTCTTACATTGAATAAGAAATAAGACCTAAAGAAAAGGTAATATCTTGAAAACACTAACACTCATATGTAAATGTGCAAAACATGTTTTAATTTCTTTGCCCAAAATGCCATGGACTACTAGCCCATGATGGCCTATAAAACTTTGGTCTCAGAAGAAAAGCATATCCTTTTACAGATGGGAAGTAAAATTATTGGTATGTAAAAATACTCCTGGTGTGGGATGGGGTTGGGGTCTGTGATGCATATGCATTATTTCATTAAGTACTCTTAATAGTAATTCTGCATGCTTTTGTTAAAAGAAAAAAAAGGAATAATATATATAAAAGCATTTTGAAAATAAATGCGCTACATAAGTGCAAGGTATTATTATTGTTATAGCCACTATGAAGGAGAATTCCTTATAATTCAGAAATGACCAAACATTTTAAATTTTGCAGATAAATAACTCTTAAAAAAGGATAGAAATGCATTCTAAGCCTCAGTTTGGAAAATAATCTTGTAGTTAAGTCTAACACTGTTGAAAATAAGAGGTTATGATACAGTATTGATTATTTCTTTACAGATTAGAATTCTGTGTTAGTATTTTAGTAATAATAATAGCTTTCATTTATATAGCGCTTGGTTAAAAAGCACTTTACATACATTATAAGAGTGTTTTAGAATAATAATTTAACTCAAAATTAATATTATGTGGAAATTTATTGCTAGCAAAATTTTGTATGATACAAGAAATGCCTTTTCTGCCAAAATATATTCTTGCCCTTTTTGCAGATAACACAGTGAAT